CTCTCTATGCTGGACTTCTTCTTTGTGGTCCCTCTGGAAACAGTGCTGAGCTGTGTGAGCTAGTGTGTAGATAGATGCTATGCTATGCTGAGCCGTGTGGACTTTCCACGTTTTCTTTTTTTCAACATTTTTATTTCCAAGTGCAAGAGTGGTTAACACTTGGGTGTGTGTCAACGTGAACCATTATCAACATTATCTTTCTGGTAGAGATTTATGACACAGCTACAAAGACCTCAAATTCTTGTTTTAAAGTCAAGATTAATCCAATGTTTACTGGTCACATTCATTCAGCCTCTCTATGCTGGACTTCTTCTTTATGGTCCAACTGGAAACAGTGCTATGCTATGGTGAGCTGTGTGGACTTCACACGTTTTCATTGTCAGTTTTCATTTTGTCAACATTTTTATTTCCAAGTGCAAGAGTGGTTGACACTTTGGTATCCTGTCACTGCTAATACTATCTATGCTATTACCAGTGACAGGTACCATTGCAAGTTTTAGCAAAACAAACTAGAAATATAAAACACATCATTAGTGCAGTACTCTGGGCCCAAACTGAACTAAAGTTATTGATATATCCCAGAGAAACACTTCACTAAAAGTCCTGCTTTTAAATATTACATTGATATATTTACAGTAAGATGTAAAAGCACGAGTTTGTCTAAATTTGTTTTATTGCATAATGTTGTAATCTTTTATTTTCACATTATTTGACATTTTGGGTCTGAATGGTACTCCACTTAAATTCTCATTTCTCATGTTTATTGATATAATTATGGTACTGTGCATATCTTTAAAGTTAGAGTGTTAGTAGTGTTGAAGCAGTTGATCTGAATCTTAAATTACAGTTTAAATGCTCGTAATCATTGGGTTAATATTTAATCATGTAACATTAGTCTCCTTTGTCCTGGTTGGCTGTTTGCAAATATTAAATCCTCCACCAGAGGTCAGTCTTTAAATATATTTTCCACTTTCACATACTCAGATGTACTTTACTGCCTTTTACAATATAAAATACTATATGGCCAAAGGTTTGTAGACACCCCTAACACCTCTGGTCAACATCACCAATGCTTTTGTGGCTGAATGGGAGCAAATTCCTGCAGCCAGGTTCAATGTCTGGAGGCTGGTTTCATATTTTTCATTTTAAATTTGCCATAAGTTCTTGGGGAACAACCTTTTTTTGGGGTTTTGAACAGTTTAAACACACAGGTGGTTCATTTTTTTTCCCAGGTTTGGTCCCTACAAATACATTTGGGCCATGAAATATTAATGATAGAATAATGTTTTTTTTTAAATAAATGTAATGTAAATACTTAAGAGTAAGTTTTAATTTTATAACAATTTTTAAAATCCTTATTGAAATGTTTCTTTTAATAAGTAACTTTTAGGCATTTTTTTACCTGGTTCCCAAAGATGGGGACAATTAAAAATTTTTAAATTATTATTATATCAATTTGTGTGGTGCTTTGCTTTACTTGTATCTGATGCATCCCATCTCATTTGGGTTTTTAATGAGGCCAACATAGATTTTTCCTTAAATTTGATTTGAATTTATGTTTGCTGTCTTGGCTTTCCATGGAAGATACTTATTAAAGTATTTCACCCCCCTTTGATTCCCCTTTGAAAATCTGAAAAAAAAATTTTCTGGAAAATGGGCAATATATATTTTAATTGGAATATTTTTTCCTTGGGGGTCGTTAAAGTGGATCTTTGCCTCTGTAATATAAGGTGTGGCAATTTTACGATATTGGATCACTTCTTGTTTATATTAAAAGTCCTTAATAATACATATTTCAGTAATTATTAGATAGCCTGTACTCTTTATTAGGCATATTTTATATAATAATGTGTGCAAATATATAGAAAATTTTTGAAGATGAATCTTGTAGAACATAGGAAGGCATTAGTTTAACACTTAAAATAAAGATATTCGATCAAACCTGATAATACCTTAACACTTGATTTGTTTTTATTTGCTCCTTTAATTTTTTCATTTTTACAAAATTGTCTCTTATTTGACCTATAAGAAAAATACCACATTCTCCTGTGTTTCAACCTTGAATTATCTAGATTATTTGTTTGTTGCTTGTCAACCAATACAGTATCTGTGGAAATAGCGCCCTTAGCTTTGCTGTGAAAGAAAAACTTATTGAAAAATGTCCTTTTTTGTCAATAAATGTGAATTAATCTTGTGCCTTAACTGTTATTCTTTCAATATGGGGTTAATGTGTGGTAATAAGATGGACTCCAAAAGCATCGTTCATCATTGCCTGTGAAATCTGCAGTTCATCACAGAAAGAAGCACAACATAACACACATGAAGAAAAGAGAAAATCTGTTAGTGAAGTATTGCTTATTCTGCTGTTGTCAATCAATAAGAGAGATTAACCTTGTTAAATGTGTGGCAGGTGAAGATGGCCAGTGGCTGCTCAGTTCCTTGATTAATCGCGCCTTCGCTCCTGGCAAAAACCATTCGGCGAACTAACTGCCTCATCAACTTTGATTATTCAAGGTCTCCTGCGTGGTCCCAAACGCCGCTTGAAAAGACACAAAAGGAAGTAAACGATGTGTGTAGCAGCAATTCGTTGTTTTTTCTCTTCCACAAAAATTAAAGCTGTGGGCGGTACTGCTATTTTTAAAAATGCACCATGTGGGGATTTAAGTTATGTGGTAAATGAATGTGTTCAAATCCAAAAATGAGAATTAATTATTTTTGAAAACCAGATTAATACAAATGGATGGCCATTTAACATTCTTTAGAAACAGATTTTGAGGATGTAATTTATCTTCAACCCTCCAGTATAAGCACATATATTGTGTTTGAGGTCTTCATCTACGTCCAAACCGACCTTCTCACAACCAAACATGAATCACACCTTTTTTCAACTGTGACTGCTTGTTTTTCTGATTAACACTGTATGTTTGTTCTTTTTCAGTCTCATTCAACCTCTTTTCTCCCAAAAGCAAAATCACTAAGCAAACCAAAACGTTCACCCGCCCTCCAGACAGAAGGCCAGCAGCGCCAGCCTGCCAGACGCAGGCCTTTCCTACTGCAGATCTAATTAACTGTAATCAGTGGATGAAAAGCAATCAGCAGCCTTTGTATGAGCTGCTGGCAGACCTGACCCCCGCTCTCTCCACAATT